CTTCCTCAGCTCTCTTCTTCCCAGCCCCGTGCAGCACTTGTCAGGGCTAGGAATTTTAGATGGAGAATTTTAACCCCTTCCTGCTCAGAGCATGTGTGGATCCCCTATCTGTGCAGATGGCAAGGCCCCGCCCCCCGTCCCTCACTCCCGCCTCTTGAGCTCAGAGCCAGTGTAATCCTCCTCTTGTGTGAGGAAGCCTCTCCCCTGCGGAGAGGAGGAAAGCCTGCTTCGGAACAGCTCTGGACAAAGGGGCTGAGATGCCCCATCAAACCACAGCCTCCAAGGTTTGAAACGGGGTGAAACCTAAATGGGATTTGCAGTTTTTAAACCCCTTCCTTAGGCTGGTAGTGCCCCTTAACTTCCACGCCTCCCCCAACTCTCTTCATTTCCCTCTGTAGCTGGCTCTCCCTTCATGCCCCTCCCCCTCTGTCTCCAGACTCTGCTGCTGGGAGGTGTTTCTCTCCCATGCATGAATGAGTCTCTGTAATGAATGGAAATGAATGGATCAGGAATCCAGAGAGGGGGAGGGGGAGGAGGAAAGACCAGAAGACTGGATGCCGGCAGAAGCTAGGAGGGGAACCTGAAGGGATTTTGGCTGGCTGGCCCTGGCTCTGAAAGGAGCTGGTACCACTTGAGTAACAGGAGTATGGCTAGCCCTCCACATTTGTTTATCCAGTGGCACAGCCCAAGGCGAGTGGAAGAGGGGTGTACTCTGATGGCCACCCGTGTGTGTGTGTGTGTGTGTGTGTGTGTGTGTGTGTGTGTGTGTAGTGATGGTAGTTCTGAACTAGGTGTTTAAAACATCAGTGGGAGGAAGTCTGTCACATCAAGGGGTGCAAGTTTTGAGGAGAACAAATAGAGAGCTCATGGTACCTCAAGGTCCAGGCAGGAAGAAGGGATGGGTTTTTAAGAATACAGGCTGCTAAGTGGGGTGACTTTACTGCTGAAAGCCAGGGCTCATCTGTCCTCCAATCAATCTGTCTTGTTTTAGCACCTCCGCACCTGTTGCCTTCATTAGCAGCTTTTCTTCCTCCTCCTTCCAATCCTCAGAACCAAAGAATGTGAAGGGGGTCCATGGAGGTGAGTGAAGTTCAGCCCTTGACCTGCAAGTACCTTCAACGGGTACTCCCTCTCCTGCCTACTTTTTTTTTTTTTTTTTCCACTTCCTACTATAGTAACACGTGTTATTAACTTGGCCCCAGTATCTAACTTCCATCCGTCCCACAACCTCTGGAGGTGAGAGGCACCGGTGTAGTCAGGTCAGGTCCCAGCCCACGGACACATTCTTCTTTCTGTTCTTCGTGTCCCAGATGCCTTTGCGTTTTCTACAGATGGGCCTTTTCCACTTCTCTATGTGCGTCTTTCCCCATAGGGCTCACGTCCCCGCATCCTGGTCGGCCCCCTGGAGCCTTCCCCGCCAACCTTCGACGGCGAGCTGGATCTGCAGCGCTACTCCAACGGGCCAGGCGTGAGCGCCGGGTCGCCTGGGATGGGAGCAGTGGGCTGGTCTGAGACAGGCGGACGGCGCTTCCCCTGTCCCGTGTGCGGAAAGCGCTTCCGATTCAATTCCATCCTGGCTTTGCACCTGCGAGCCCATCCGGGAGCCCAAGCCTTCCAGTGCCCACATTGCGGCCACCGAGCAGCCCAGCGTGCTCTGCTGCGCTCGCATCTCCGAACGCACCAGCCTGAGCGTCCACGCAGCCCTGCTGCAAGGCTGTTGCTGGAGTTGGAGGAACGCGCCTTGCTACGGGAAGCCCGACTAGGGAGAGCCAGAAGCTCAGGAGGCATGCAGTCCAGCCCTGCGGCAGAGGGCCTGGCGCGCCCTCAGGTGCCCTCCTCATCTGCCTTCCGTTGCCCTTTCTGCAAAGGCAAGTTTCGCACCTCAGCGGAGCGGGAACGCCACCTGCATATCCTGCACAGGCCCTGGAAGTGCAGCTTGTGCAGTTTTGGCTCCAGCCAGGAGGAGGAGTTGCTGCACCACAGTCTGACGGCCCACGGGGCTCCCGAGCACCCCCTGGCGGCTGCTTCTACGCCTGAACTCCAGCCTCCACCCCAGCCAGAACCCAGATCTGCCCTTGAGCCTGAGCCTGAGCCTGAGCCTAGGCCAGAGCCTGAGCGTGAGGCGAACCCTGCCCCGACTCCTGCACCTCCGGAGGAGCCCCCTGCGCCACCTGAGTTCCGTTGCCAGGTGTGCGGCCAGAGTTTTACACAGTCCTGGTTTCTCAAGGGTCACATGCGCAAGCACAAGGCCTCCTTTGATCATGCATGCCCTGTGTGTGGCCGCTGCTTCAAGGAGCCCTGGTTCCTTAAGAACCACATGAAGGTGCACACCAGCAAGCTGGGTCCTTTGCGTACCCCAGGGCCTGCCTCTGCGCCTGCCAGAGCCCCGCAACCTCCTGACCTGAGCCTGCTGGCTTACGAGCCGCTGGGCCCTGCGCTCCTCCTGGCCCCAGCTCCCAGCCCTGCTGAGCGCCGAGAGCCCCCGAGCCTCTTAGGCTACTTGAGTGTACGAGCCGGGGAAGTACGGCCCAACGGTGAGGGCGCCGAGTCTGGAGGTGGACGAAGCTATGGAGGATACCGCCCGCTGCCTTCAGCCCCTCCCAACCGGGCTCGGCGACACCGCACAGAGGAACCAGAGGAGGAAGAGGAGGTGGGGGAGGCAGAAGAGGAGAGCTGGGCCCGAGGCAGGTCGCTGGGCTCTCTGACTTCCCTGCACCCCCACCCAGGTGAGGGGTCAGGACAGTCTGCACCTGCCGTGGGGGCCCAGGTGAGATCGACGGCCACCCAAGGTATGTACGCGCTGTTTTCTCTCCGGGTTGCCTGCATTTCGTACTCGATGTTTTGTCCAACACTCCTGTAGCTTCGTTTTCAGAAGACCCGTCTTTAATTTCTCCTGGGCTACTTACTGGCCTCCCCGCCCCCATTTTTCCCCTATTGGTAGCTTTGTGACTTCCTAAGGTTACTAACTCTTTAACAAACCTATGTCCACCTCAAGCCTCCTTCCTCTTAGGCCCAGAGGAATGGTGGGTGTATTGGGTGCCTGGCCGGGGCAAGAGAGCGGAACCCTCTAATTTCCTTTTAATGTGTTGCAGAGGAAAACGGGCTGCTGGTTGGAGGGACACGATCCGAAGCTGGCCGAGGGGCCACTGGCAAGGACTGCCCCTTCTGTGGAAAATCTTTCCGCTCTGCGCATCACCTGAAAGTGCATCTTCGAGTGCACACAGGTGAGGGAGGCATTCCCCATGGGGGAGGGTCTAGGAGGAAGAAAGGTAAGAACAACCAGGAGGCCGGAGGACGTGCTGGGCACCTTTCAGACCAACCAGGGAAGATCATCTGAGTCACCTAACGGGGCTGGCATTTGTCCCTGGTCTTTGAGATGAAGGCTGTAAACTGAGCAAAATGCCAGTGTAGGTGTGCATGTGATCGTGCCCCCGTGACCTACTCTAACCCACTCCCCAGGTGAGCGTCCCTACAAGTGCCCACACTGCGACTACGCAGGTACCCAGTCGGGCTCGCTCAAGTATCACCTCCAGCGTCACCACCGAGAGCAGAGGAGCAGTGCAGGGCCTGGGCCTCCTCCAGAACCCCCGCCCCCTTCCCAGCGGGGCGCAGCCTCACTGCAGCCGCAGTCAGGAGCCAAGTCAGCCCAGGCCTCTGCCACCTGGCTAGAGGGCACTGCAAGTACCCGGCCTCCTTCGAGCAGCACCGGACCAGGGTCCCGTAGGAAGCCTGCCAGCCCTGGGAGGACCCTGCGCAACGGGCGAAGCGGTGAGGCCGAACCCCTGGACTTGTCCCTACGGGCAGGGCCAGGAGGTGAGGCCGGGTCAGGGGGTGCCCTTCACCGCTGCCTCTTCTGCCCCTTTGCCACTGGAGCTCCCGAGCTTATGGCCTTGCATCTGCAAGTACACCACAGCCGTCGGGCTCGGGGCCGCCGGCAGCCCCGAGTTGACACTTCTCCACCCTATGTCCGAGCACCATCAGGAGAGACCCCTCCCAGTCCTCCCCTAGAAGAGGAGGGCAGCCCAGGGCTGTCTAGGTCCGGAGAGGCTGGTCTTGGGGGTCAAGAGCGATAGGGAGCCCTCTTAGGAGTGATTAGCTTAGTAAGCTTACCCCGCAGGAGCGGGGAAGTGCTAGAGGTAGTTGGGTAGAGCAGCCAGCAGGGAGCAGTGTGGGACCCGTATCCCAGCCCAAGGTGGACCAAGAGGTAAAGTGGGCAGTGGGTGAAGGAGGGTGGGCAGGCAGTACCCACCCAGCCCAGGGGAGTCACAGTGCCTTAGAAGTGGCAGAGGTGAGGGTCAAAGAACGGGGTCCTAGGGCTGGTAGAGGATGTGTTCCTGTTGAGGAGCCGCTCTGCCAGCTTCTGCTGGTCCATAGGCATGAGAGTTTATTTTTGTATAAGGGGTGGGGGTGGGGGCACTGTACCCTTCTAGCCCTATCAGGGGCCCTGTAGACGTTGCTATTTTTGGTACGATTCCTGTCATCCCTGTTGAAGAGTCATGTCCCCAATAAACAGGTGTCTTGAGGCACAAGGCCCTGTGTCTGCCTGTGTTTTGCTCTCCCTAGGCACTTCATTATCAGTGAGCTTGGTAAGGATGCAAAACTTTGCCTTACCTCTGGACTTCAGATTCAGGGACTCTGGATGGGCCCTGAGAGTTAGCATTCGGAATAAGTAGCCTAGGAGAGTTCTCTTGCACTGTGGCCTGAGGACATCATTAGACAACTACTGGACTGTGCTGGACCCACCTGACCATCTCAGCCTCAAGAAGTGGGTACAAGACGGAGGAGGAGGAACTTCAAACAGCTCATTGAGCTGAGGAGGAGGAGGCTCATTCTCCCACACTCAGAGCTATCAGTGTTGGGCCAGTGAGGGGTGGAACAGCTACTCTCTGGCCTTGGTTTTATTTTCTGAAGCCTACATAGTGGTTATAGGGAAGTACTCAAGTCAGTTCAAACACCGTAATCCAGGGGCGCGCTCTGTCTCCCGGGAGGCAAAATGAGAGTAAATACATTTAATATAACAATAGTACAGTAACAGTAATTACATATATAAAGTCTGCAGTGCCCACCCCATCTCCTCCAGTGGCTTGCAACACTTCATTTCCCATGACACCCCAGAATGGAATTCAATTCGACCTGGCAGAGATGAATCTTCTGGGAGAGTCGGGAGGAGAGAAGCGGGCTGTCGGCAGAGCAGCGTCCTGGGGGTGTGCATTAGCACAGGCTGGGGAAAAGCTGGAAGAGGGCTCTTCCCTGTCCCCCGGGCATAAGGGCAAGCAAACAGCACCACTGTGGTTCCTGCAGCAGAAGGCACCAAGCAGGGGAGAGCTAGAGATAGCTATGGCAGGGGAAGCTCTGGTCCTTGCCCTCTGTCCAGGAAGCTGGGGGGAGGGGGGTCTTTGAGAGCTTCAGTCCTTCATTATGTCCCCTTGGCATCCCAGTCTAAAACGTGCTGAGGAGGGGCTGTGGCCAAGTTCTGGGTCTTCTCTGGAAGCCGGAGAGAAGAGGGAGATGGTTTGGGAGAGGCAAGAAGCTGACGCCCAAGCACCTGAGGTCAGGAAGGAAGGTCCTTAAGGGAAGGCATGCTGGATGTGTGGGTAAGGGGGTTGCTGACTCACCTAGGTCACAGAGGCGTGGTGGGGTCACTCAGGGCTCGGGAATGACTCTGAGGACACAGAAATTGCAGTGTGTTTAGACATAGTCTCTAGTGTATGTGTCTCCCCGCTTCTCAAGATTTTGACCTCTGACCTTGATTGCCTCTCAGCCAGGCCTAGGGGAGAGGAGAAAGGCAGACTGGATAACAAACCCAATCTGCAGCATCAGCTGAGAGTCGTAATGTCTGGTTCCTCTATGCCCCAGTTTGTCAAATGACCAGAAAAGCCCATCCAGAAAGAGACCACCTGCCCCCAGTCTTACTGCAGGGACTCACCTGCCGGGAAAGCCCTAAGATCCCTCCACTGGCCAGAGTGGGAGTGCTGCTCCCGGGGTGGGGGGGCTGCAGGCTGGGGCTGTTTCTTGGTCCTGGGGACACATCTCCAGAAGAGTCAAGTGTTTCTGAGGCTGGAGGGGAAGCTAGGGTGAGAGTAAGGTAGAAAACCCTTCCGAGATTACCTTAAACAACCAAGCTCCTCCGGCAAGGAAGAAAAAGCTCCATAGCAACAGGAAGCTGTGAGTCACCATAGCAATCCAGTTGCAAGAGAACCCCCCTACCAAGAGGCAGGAAATTGTCAGCAGCATCATTAGAGCAACCAGGGAAGAAGCGACAGGAAACTAAGAATTGCCGTGGTGAACCAGGAGGGTACAACAGGAAGCTGAGGCAGTTTCCATAGAAACTCAAGGAGAGCTAGAGAGAAAGGTACAGAAGAAGTGCTTCTTAGCAAAAGGCTGCTGTAAGCATCTCCCTAGCAACCAGATGGAAGGCTCTTTTAGCAACGGGGAAGCTGTATGTAGTTGTCATGGCAACTGAGCTACTTGGCTAGAAAAAGGAATTGCTCAGCAACAGGCAGCCTGAACATCACCATGACCCAGCGGTTGGGGGTCACCCCTTGAGAGGTGCCTCACCCAGGGAAATCTGCTTGACGTCCAGATCCCAGGCCTCCTCCTCGACGCGGGCAGGCAGGGAGCAGGCTCCCGGTGAGAGGCCGGGAAGGGACGGGCCAGCATGCTCAAAGGATGACACGGCTACGGAGGCCCGGGTGCGGGCGGCTGCAGAGAGTGGGGAGTTGGGGTGGTGGGGTGCTGATGTGGAAAAGTCCTCCTGGCTTCCTGGAATAGCTCACAGAGGGCTTCCCAAGGAAACCCACATTTTGGGGAGAGATGCTCACTCAGAACTCGGTATTCCTTCCTGACATCTCCCCATTGTTTTGGTATCATTTGCAAGGTCCGACTTCTGGGGGCACACCCCCTCCCCCAGCACCCTGGAACTTACCTCTTCCAGTGAGCAGGGCACTCAGCGTCCGCTCGCCAAGGGCTTTGATGTCCAGGAAAGGTTTGTTCCCGATGCCCATGGAAACCATCTGCTGTACTCGGAGCTCTGGGGAACAGAGACCGGGCAACCTCTTGGCCCTCCTGCCTCTGTGTTAGCCCATCCCTGTCCACTCTCTGGTCTTCTCATCTCTCACCAAGCCCCCCTTCTTTCTTCTAGTATCTCCCCTTCCTTGACTGTCATGGCATGGACTGTGACAGCCATCTTTGACCTCTTCAGAGATACATCTGTTCTCTCCTATGGATCTCATCTTGCCCATTTGGCCTCCTAACCAGCTGACGTGTGTGTGTGTGTACATGATGTGGGTGTGAATGTAGGCATGGATATTGGGAGGTGAGAGGACGCATCAGGTGTTGGTTGAGCCTTGCTCTCCACCTTGTTCTATGGCTGATCCTCTTAGTCATTTTGGTGTGCATATGCCAGGCTGGCTGTCCAGTGAGCTTCTGAGGGAAATTCCCGTCTTGGCCTCCCATCTCCTCTGTAGGAAGGATGTCATTACAGATGTTCCCGTTATTTACTAGATCTGCCGTACTGCTGGCTTCCATGTGGGTTCTGGGGATTTGAACTCAGGTCCTCACACTTGCATGACAAGCACTTTTACCCAGTGTGCTGTCTTTCTGGCTCCTGAGTTTCCATGTAATGCTCAGCTTCCCTTCATCATGGACATGAAGAGCAAAAGTCGTGTTTTTCCACATCTCTGTGGTTTATAAAGTGCTTCCGTGTGTATCAACCTACTCTGTCCTATCACACTGAGTTGAACAAAGTACTATGCTTTCTTCAGATTAATAGAATGATTCAGAAAACTACAACAACAACAAAGAAAAGATATTAATCCAGGTCACACAGCAAGTAAGTGGTGTCAGTTCTTAACCGCAGGGCAGTATATAGTTTAAACCTCTTTTGTGGAGACATTTGCTCTTGTTCCTTGGAAATGTCTAGCTTTCTCTTTCATCATGGCTAATTTCCATCTCAACAATATTTTTTTAAACCAGACTTTGAATCCTCAGTCTTTCTCTCTCTGTCTTTGGTTTTTCAAGACAGGGTTTCTCTATATAGCCCTGGCTGTCCTGCAACTCAGTCTATAGACCAGCCAGGCCACAGATTCACAGAGCTCTGCCAGCCTCTGCCTCTACCGAGATTAAAGGTGTGTGCCACCACTGCCACCGCCATCACCAGCTGCACACCACCACTTAGCTGAATCTTACTTAAGGCGTCCTTTCAGCCCCCTCTACAGTTTTCCAAGCCATCGCCACACACTCCAGAAAAGCTCCTGTAACTCCGAGCCTAAGCCGAGCCACCCTGGGATCTGCCTGTTACCCTTGTTGTGGGCTGCCTGTCTCCACAGCAGCTGGGCAATAGAACTTGTCCACTTGACTTTGGTCTCTGGTGAGCTAGCCTGCAATGTGTATGCTTCTCGTGTGCGCCGTCGCCGAAACCATAGTTCAAAGCAGAGTCCGCTGTCCCCAATGTTTTCTGTCAGGCCCATGTCAGCGGTCTGAGGAAGGGCAGAAGAGTTGGGTTGAAGATGGAGGTGTCCCTCGTTAGCTGGCACCACACTGGCAGGCGCTATGTTTAGCTTGGTTGATGTTCAGTAAACATTTGCTCAACATCTATCAGATACCAGGTTCTACAGTGTCTGTATGACAGGCCTAATTTAAAGAAGGGAAACTGAGGCTCAGGGACGTGAAGCAACTTTCTCAAGAGTTTATCCGAGTATTAGGATTCAGATGCATGTCTGTGCTATTCCAAAAGCAGACATTTTTCTTTGTCCTATGAAGAGTTGGAACTAATACAAGGACAGTTTGGAAAGCTTTAGTATCATTCTACCTGCTGATCTAGGACCATGGGTTGCTATGGATGTTTCTATCTGGCTAGATGCCTGAAGGAGGACCTGCCTCTTGGGTTCTGCTTACTTCAGTGGAACTCAGTTGTGTGTGTGTGTGTGTGTGTGTGTGTGTGTGTGTGTGTGTGTGTGTGGTGTGTCCTTTCTCCTCATATACCAGGGAACACCTCTAACTCAGAAGTCTATTTTTTTTTCCTAGTCAGGGTTTCTCTGTGTAGCTTTGGCTGTCCTGGAACTCACTCTGTAGACAGGCTGGCCTCAAACTCAGAGATCCACCTGCCTCTGCATTCGAAGTGCTGGAACTAAAGGCGTGCGCCCCACCACCTGGCAGGCATGTGTTCTTAATGGGACAGTCTTTTTCCATTCTCTTTTGAAACGCCTTCTTAAGTCTTCTACATGAATTATATGGAAAACCCCAAAGGGGTTGACTGACAACAGGGATTTTTTTCACCTTCTGACACCCTAAAATTGATGACTAATTCGAGGCCAAAACCTATTTTAGGTGATGACGCTCCTGAACCTGGTTTGAGGTTGAGCTCACAGAACATTTTGCGTTCTCGAGGAGAACATGACCCATATCCCAACTCCATGTGGTATACCTTGAAGGCCTGCTTATAAACAAAGGTCTCAGATCCTCCCTCAGAGCCCTTGAACTTGCTGAACAAGAGCAGATCCTCAAAGAGGAAGACATGGCGGAGACACTTTTTCCGGCCACAGATGACAGTGAATGGGTCCCGATGCAAGAGCTGCCCCTGTTCCTTCAGATCTATCTGGAGAAAGAGGGGAAAGGTCAGTCCAGGGGCCCGTGGTGTGAAATTACGGGACATAAGAGATCTAGAGGGAAGGGCGCCTAATGGACTGTCTGTTGGCATGGTCAGGAAGTCAGGGAGGGCCTCTCTCTAGCACTCTCTCCGCTGTTTCTCGTGCACACATGACTAGCAGCACAGTCATTGCTCCGAAGAGAAAAGACGCACTGCAGAGTTGGTACCCAGTCTGCCACGGGGAAGTCAAAGAACATGGGTAGGTCTGTCTTAGAGCAGCGGTTCTCAACCTTCCTTCATGCTGCAACCCTTTAATACAGTTCCTCATGCTGCGGTGACCCTCAACCATAAAATTATTTTCATTGCTACTTCATAACTGTAATTTTGCTACAGTTATAAATGGTAATATACATATATGTGAAATGTTCTTTCTACCTTCAAAGGATCCCAACCCATAGGCTGAGAACTGCTGATCTAGGGGTATGCTATTGCAGCCTGACCTGAAATCAGTGTGGGAAGGAGGTTAGGTCAGGGGAAATATGGTAGGCCAGAAAGGTAGAGCAGACAGGAAATAAGAATTAGGGAAGGGGCAGAAGAGCACAAGGTAGACATAGGAAGAACAGAGGATGTTGGACATAGCTTCTTTCTAAATGAGGCAACAGAAGAGGAGTCAGAGCCTAGGGCCCTAGACCTCAGGTCTGCTTTTATGGTCACCAGCCCACACAGTCTCTAAGACCACAGAGTTACACAGTTAGAGCAAGAGTCAGTGGAGGGCAGGACCTTACCTCACAGCCTCGCACGGCTTCCACAGCGAGCAGATCTCTGCCTCGGGCCTCTTGTTCCTGGAGCAACTGTATAGCAGTCCTGAGGGCCTGGCGTTCGGAGCTTAGCTCGGGCCCAGCTTCCCTCAGGAGCTCCTCCAGCAGCTGTCTATACCGAGCCAGCTGCTCCAGGGGCTGCTGCAGGGCCCGGGGCAAACAGGGGCTGCCCTCCATGGAACCCTAGGGTAGAACCGCAGCAGGGCATGAGAAGAGGGTCTGGGGCTGGTAGGAGCCAAAGTCAGGACAATATGTGAGAGGCTGGGTAACAGAGGAAGACCAGGCAGCCTTAAAGGTAAAGAAAGGGATCTGAAAGATGGCTCAGTGGGCAAAGGTGCTTTCCACTACGCTTTCCACTACGCAACCTGAGTTTCACCCCCAGGACTCATGGGAAAAATAACTGACTCACAGTTTGTCCTCTGACCTCCACATGGGCACCATAGAGTGTCCACACATATATATTCACATATATGTGCACGTGTGCACACATATACACCGATAATAAACATGTAAAAAATGTTTTTTTCTTTTTTAAGAAGAGAGAGAGAGTAGAGGTTAGAGAGATAACCCAGAAGCTACAGGACCTTGCCACCAAGGCTGGGAATCAAGTTCCATCCCTGGGACCCAGGCGGTGGAGACTCTGTTGGAATTTCTTTTTTGTTTTTTTGTTTTTTACACAATTTATTCATTTTATCTCCTGATTCTAAACTCCTCCCTCAACTCCTTCTGGTCGGTCCCTCTCTCCCTTCCTCCTTCCCTCCCTCCCTCCCTCCCTCTTCCTCCCTATCTCCTTCCCCTAGTCCACTGAAAAGGGGAGTTCTCCTCCCCTGCTATCTGCCCCTAGCTTATCAAGTCTCATCAGGACTGCCTGGATCCTCTCCTTTTCCTTAGCAGAGGAATGGATACAGAAATTGTGGCACATTTACACAATAGAATACTACTCGGCTCTTAGAAACAAGGAAATCATGACATTTGCGGGCAAATGGTGGGATCTGGAATAGATCACCCTGAGTGAGGTAACCCAGAAGCAGAAAGACACACAAGGAGTGATGTTTTTGTGCACTGTGTATTCACATGCTGATTTCTGTGTGCAGAGCTGACCACAGGCTGGACCCTGGGCTTTGTGGTTTTCATGAAGCATCTCCTGTCTTAGTGTTTTGTGAACTTTGTTCTCCATCACCTTCTGATTGGTTTCAATTAAAAGCTGATGGTCAATAAACTGTGGCAGGATTAAGAAGTGGGACTTCTGGGCGGAGAGAGAAGGGGTCCCAGGTGGGGACCAGAGCCGTTGGAAGGAGTCAGAAGGATGAAACTGAGGGCAGGTAAAGAACCGTGTGGCAGGACACAGATTAAGATGAATGGGTTTGCTAGTTGGGAACAACACCCTCAAGTAAGGCTTAAAGTTATTTTAAATAAATGTAAGTTTCCATGTCATTATTCAGAGCTAGGGCAGGCACAGAAAACCAGAAGATTAGCTGGGCAAGGTGGCACACACCTGTAACCCCAGCAGCACCTGGAGTGGCAGAGGCAGGCAGATCTCTGTCAATCTGAGGCCTACAAAGTGAGTTCAGGACAGCCAAGGCTACACAAAGAAACACTCTCAAAAAACCAAAACTAAAGACAAAAGGAAAAGAAAACCATAAGATTACAAGAACCAGCTCCTGTGACTTGTCCTATGACTTCTCCACACATGCTTAGCACACACACACACACACACACACACACACACACACACACACACACA